ACAAAAAAGATTAGACAATTGATTCTATTTGTAGTGAACAATAGAATAGTAATTGTACATAATATACTGTTTTCAACGAATAATTTTAAATAATTTATAATAACATTACTCAAAATTTAAATGATTATTATTTATAATATAGTTCAATTGACCATATTATTTGAAATAATATAATTTTTTTTTTAAATTACTTATTCACTTATAGTAAGATAAAACTCGGTAAATACAAATCGATGTTTTTTAGATCGCAATTAAAATATGGTGTGTTTAGACATTGATATCAAAATTTACATTTAGGTTTAAAAATCTTATAGTTAATTCAAGTGTCGTTGTTCATAACCCCCGACCATTTAAAACCAACGGAAAGTATGACAATTCTTATTTCTAGTGTTAAAAAATAAAATTAAAAAACTAAATTTTGCACGTTTATAAAAAGAATAAATAAAATTATGTTTTTAGTTTCATGATTAACGATCTAGGATAAAGTTTCTGAAATAAGATACAAAAAAAAAAAAGCATTCATAAAGCATACAAAATATAATATACAACAACGAATAAAATATTTAAGAGTTGAAAATGTACGATATTTTTTCTGTTAAATAAAAAGAAAAATATATGAACTACGTTAGTCAGTCGTATAGGTGATAAACATTTTTGTTCCGTGTTATTATCATAATATGCGTAGCGTATGTATGTTGACGCCAAATTCATATACATAGGTGTAATAATATGTATATATATTATGTGTTGCGGTCTGGCAGACCGACGAATTAGATTCGGACACTCTCGTTTATACAAGTACAATAATACTACATCGTGCCAAGTGCACGGCGACGACCGCTAATACGTATTTGAAACAAAAAAATAAAATAAAAAAATAATACAAACAAGTTTTCGGGAGCTTAACAATTTTACACGGCCGTTTCACACGAAAAGTGCTAAAGTCAGCACCAGCGGGTCCGAATTAAACACCGTAATAATTCACCAGCAGGTACCTCTACCTATAGTTTATGACCATATAAATATCTGTTTGTGTGTGCGTGTGGCACCAGTGTCTGGTTAATAGGCATTAAAAACGTTGAGTGTCAAAATGTACTGCGCTCATAAAACTGTTGCTTTATGCTAATAACGCAAATCAGATGATTTAATATTATAATAATATAATAGTATAATGTTGGACGTCGGTGGGATTTTCAACTGGTCATGTCCAATGACAAATTTCGAGTGACTGTGACTGTCGTGGCAAGTGCAAGATTCACCAACAGTTGGCGGAAGAATATTTTAAATTGGACACAAAAAAATCACGCGTGCTGCCGACGAAGACTTACACTCGAGTCAGGTCGTTGAGTATGAACTTTGTACCTACACGTATATGGCGTATACAACTACTCGTAGGTGCTCAAAACACACATACAATAAACAAACGCTTCTATACAACACAATAATATTCTCTTACCTACATTTGAAACTGTTGACGAGTACAATAAAATATATATTATACGAGTATTATTATTATAAATTGTGTTGGTTTAACCGTAACGGAAGTTAACAATACACCAATAACATAATTTCATGTCCTAAAGCAAAATATTCATATTGTATCCTTTTAAAAATTTAAAATTAATTTGTTGATCTGAATTTAAAATTAGTTAAGCAAGGGATATTTTGTCGCCATTCACTAGAAATTATTATTCAAGTTAAATATATTTTAATTAACTGTAAAAAGAATATTTATTAGTTTTAATAAAAAATAAACAAAGTATATTCAAATATTTCCATAAAAAAAAATAACAAACATCAATGTATTGTACATATTATATAAAACGCTTTAAAATACAATCACTTACATACTTTACAACCTCAAAGTATAAAATATTATATGAATAAAAAAATAAGAAAGACATGAACTAAATCGATCAACATTTAAGTTTATAACTAATCTACATAGTTACTTGTTAGATTATTCGGAATAAAAACATTTAAATGCATCGACGTCGTTAAGCTTTAATAAGGTTACCCAATAACTATTACAATATACTTGGTAGAGTTTGTTATTGTTGTTGAAACTAAAAAGGAACAAGTAATTTTAGATTCCAGTTAATCGATCAAGCTCTTCTGAATGACTTAACTACGGATTAATTATTTGTTTACTGATGTTGTATACTTTGAGTTTTTAGATTTGTATACATATTTCTTTAACGTACAAAAATTTAAATAAAATGAAACTAATATATTATGTGCATTGATACATGTTTATCGGTTGTATAAAACATAGAATTATTCTATTTTGTAAGATCAAATAAAATCATATCGCTGTTAATTAAATATATACTAATTTAACACAATAATATGAATTAACTTTATACACTGTTAATAATGTATATAAAATATGTAATAACTAACAACCACTACTTAAAGAAAAGAATCTTAAAATATTAAAAGTTACACATTTATATTAATATAATTTATTTGAATTTGAATATCTATATTAATAATTTAAAATATGTTTACAAACAGTGTTTATAGGTCAAAACTATAATATTAATACTCACAAAGAAAATAATAGTAGTTTAGTAAAAAAAAAAGAATTAACAACTAAAAATAAATTACGAATTGTTTGTATTATTATATATTATAATTTAGGTAAAATTTGATAAAATATTAAATAACTATTCAACACATTTTTATTAAGTAACATAATCTATATAAATATGAAAACAAAAATTCTTGTCACACATGTTCTCTGAAACTACTTGTCTGATTATTTTGCTTTTTTAAGTTCATCTTGGATCAAGGCTTAAGAGTTTTAAGTTTCTAATTCTATAAATTAATTAAAAATTGAGTTATTAATTTTTTAAATTATCAGAAAAATGTACATAAAGATATTTTTTATTTCATTCATATTACCAATTATGAATTTTATTAGAAATTATTATTTCAGTAAATAGCTGATGTAATACAAGTTATAACAATACAACAATTTTTTTTTTTTTTTTTTATTTCACACTATTGAAATTTTATAAGATGTTGATTTTTGATTCAGAATGAAAAGAAAAAAAATTAGATCGTTCAACAACAACAACAAAAAAAAAAAAAAAAAGTAACTTAAAAATAAACTGTTATTAAATTATCAAAAAATAAAAACGACGCTGTATGGGAGAAGTTATGTTAAGTTGATACGTCAGTAATATCATCTATACACAAAATTAGCAAACCAAAATTATTAGTTATCCATATGCGTTATGCTTGATGTTAGCATTAAAGAACCAAATTTAACACAGACGTATTTTGTACTGGTAACAAAGTGCACGGGTATAGCTAGTATAATATACTCGTAAATAATATATATATTAGGTGTTTAAAAACTCATTAAGATAGAATTTTTGTAAAAAAAAAAAAAAAAAAAAACATAAACTTGTAATGTGGTGTATGATAAAATATTCAATATTCTGTAGAATCTTACAAAATGGTGTAATCTAATATAATGATTTAATTTTTTGATTCTAAATAGAGAAGTAGAAATATTGATTATAAAATGATGCGAGTTCTTTCCCTTGCAGATTAGATTTTTGATTGCTTATCTAAAACATAAAAATAATATCCTTTAAAAATACATTATAAAAATTCAACATTTTCTCTAATGATTATCAAAATGTATTCTAAAGTTAAGATTAACAGAACAGGTCAACAATAATAGTTATGTATTTTCGTAAAAAACCTATTCACATGTATTCCTATTTTCATTTTTTTTTTCTATTAAATGGAACACATAGTAACATAATAAAATACATAAAGCTTATCATATTTAACCTAAATAAGTGGAAAAATATTTTTTATATTTTTTATACATAATATAATATTTTTCTACCATAGATTACTACTCGTATTTTTATATGAAATAAAAATAATTAAATATAAAATAATATATAACATTACATCATTAAGTATCAATGTATCATGTATTTTGCTAAAATACGATGATTTATAAAATTATAATAGGTACTCCAATTGTCTAAAATTCCCCCAAATTTTCTATAACTAAATGTTAAATAAAAATTAATGTTACTTTATGAACATTTAGAGCTTTTTCTTTTACATCTGTGTAATTTTTAATCTTGGTACTCATTCTAATATATTTTAATCATTCTAAGTTTAATTTATCGTTGGGTTTCATGGTTTAAATCCTTATTTTGTTTTCTTTTACGTATATTTATATAAATAAGAATAACTAGAATAAGTGTTGCAATGGGGGAAAGTCTAAGTGCAATGTTGTGTATTTTAGAATATAATACCATACTTAATAACTTAAAAATGTAGAGACTTTTGTTTTCAAGTTATATTCTAGTATTATTTTTTTTTTAAATTAATACCAAATAATTTTAAATTATGAATATATTTTGATAATCTCTTGGATATTTATAATCGTAGTAAATACATTTATTAAATTTTTAATAAAAACATAATTTTAGTTTTAAATAATTATAGGTTTATGTTTAAATTTTCCTGCAATATTTTTTTCATTAATTAACTTTTTTATATATAAACACTTTTAAAATTATGATTTATTATTAAAATTATTATTTCATGTTCCTTGTATCTATATTTATTTAGTAAAATTGTTTATACTCTCAATATAAAAATATATTGTTATTCATAAATTTTAGATACATTTTATGATATTAGTAAATATTTTATTATATTACCAATAATAAAAAAATAGTATGTTAAACATGCTAGTCGCATGAACAAGGACAATTACAATGAAATACTATTCTATCAAATAAGTTATAATGTACTTTTATAATTTAGATTTAATAAAATGTATTTATAGATCAAATTAATTAAAATAAATTATTAATTAATTATATTTATATTATGAATACTATTTTAACTATCTAAAATACATTTTAAAAATGTATTATTATAATTTGTATTCACAAGTAACATAATAAAAACTATTCGAATGTGATATTAATACATAATTTTTTTTTTCCTTATAGAGAATAGGTACTGCTCATGGAGAAGAACTTCCATATATGTTCGGCGCCCCGATGGTAACTGATGGTATGAATCATTTTTCCAGAAATTTTACAAAAGCAGAAGCTTTGTTGTCTGACGCTATGATACTCTACTTGGGAAATTTTGCAAGAACTGGGTAAGTAAACTTGTAATGTACCTCCTATCAAAATTATTTTTAGTTTTATGAACAAATGTTTATTACAACATTGCAGTTAAAATTTCTTTTTCCAAAAAAAAAAAAAAAAAAAATTAAACTGACACTTTTAAATTGAAATATAAATTTCTTCGAAAAAATATTAAAATCATGAACGTTTTACTATATATTATGACAACGACATCGGTAAAACCATATAAAATATAGCAATATTTTTATTTTAAGTAATAAGTTTAACGAAAATCATGTAAATACTGTTTTAAAATATATTTTATTAGATTTCAGAATTTTTGTATAGAATGTCAATGGATTTATTGATAATATCATTTATCGTATAACTGTGTTACGTTTTTATTATATATTCTATCATACCTTTAAAATTATGAAAAGGTAACATCTTTAATTATTGATTGTTAATATAGTACCAATAAATTATAGATAATTTGTTATTAAATAATAGTGTACGCATACATATAATACAATTTTTTTTTTAATTCGCAGCTTGCATTAATTTGAAAAGAAGTTTCAATTTATTTTAAAATGATTTAGGTAATTTTAATTTCCGATGAGAATACTTTTTATTCATTTCATATGATGTTTCAACTTTTAATTACATTTAACAATACTTTTTGATCAGTTATTATCATAATTAACTAATTGCATTTTAAATGCGTATTACATTATTTACGTTTTCATTTCATTCCATTTATTCCAATCTAGCTTTATTCTATTAAATGGTACGCGTACATACACGGATTATTCAAATACTAGTATACATCATAATATGTTAACTTTAATACTATTAAACCACCAATATTACCATAATCAAAATTTGAAAAAATACCATGTGATTTTGGTTATAAATTGCGTTTATAAAATATTTATTAGATATGACAGTAGTTTGTATTAAGACAATTTATAAATTATATATCTGAAAATAAAATGAGAATATAAACATTTATAAAAGAATGATAATTTATAGCTAAGAATTTAACTCTTATTTGGCTTCATTTTAATCAATAATATATAAATTATTATTATTATTTTATTGGATACAAATAAATTTATAATTTATAACACAAAGACGTAAAAAAAATAATGTGTTTTAAATTATTTCAATGGTATGACATGTTTAGAAATTTAAGATATTAGAGACGTTGTTAATAGAGTTTAAAAAAAAAATAAAAGCAGGATACCGTGTAACCCGATCAGAGGAGTTAAAAGCTGTAATATATGTAACGAGCTCAACTAACAAGGCATCTGAAACTTGATCAGGAGTTATGACGTATTCTCAAAATGTTCCATAATTTTCATTTAACGGTTTAAGAAAAGCAGATAATTTGACAAGATAGAGCATTATCACTTGCTATAAGATATACACGATGATTCTATAACTTTTAATAAGGAACATTTATTTAACAGTATTGAAGTATATAATATTATATAACCATAAGAGGTTCATTAGAAATTCCAACCTAGAATTTTTCAGAAAGTTTCTCATCGCATATTTACATACATAAACAATAATCATATAATACGAACATATTTTACTTGTATTGTTGCATTTAGTAAATGTATTTTTTTAAATCATATAAAATATTATAATACGTTAACCGATGTGAATTAAATAAAATATTGTACACTATTACTTTGTTTTGTATCGGCTACTTATATCGTTATCATATTCGTAAAAATCAACAGCAAATTTTCCCTAGGAATAATCTGTATATTAACACAATAAAAATAATTTGCGATAAAAAAAAGTAGATATTAAAGATAAATATCATTCCTAAATAATTTAATTTATATTATACCAATTTAATATTAATATTTGATTTGCATAATATTCATAATAATTTCAGTTTTTAGTTATATTGCGCCTCTAATAAACATGGCTCTTCCAATCAGACTTAATGCTCGAACTGAATTCGAATCACCGTGAAATAAAAATACAAATAATTCATAGAAATGATTTTCATCATAAAAATATTAACATTTTAATAGATATTTCGACAGAAAGCAATATTTTTTTTTTACATTTTTCTATCTTATATTATATTACACAATTAAAATTAAAAATATAAACGGATTAAAATATTTAATAAAGTGTTCATATAATGATTAAGATTGAAAATAAAATTACCTAGAAATTTCCCAGGCTTATTAAATAATTTATAACAATAATTATATTTTTAATGACCAGAATATTATTCAGCGCAATAAATGTTTATACTAATAAATTATGTATTTTTCCGAGCTCATAATTGAATATTAACACGATGGATAAAATATTTGCACCTAAACTCACTTCAATACAGTCTTATATCAATTAATCCACAATCAAGTATGAAAATTTGCCCGTTTTATACAAATGATTCCATTGCATTTATCATTTAGATTAATACCTACCACATAAGTATAATACGTATAACTTAGTGCATATTATAAATTAATTTTTACCAATAATATTTCCTGGCCTTACAAGTCTTCTAGCACGGTTTCATTGTAAATTAATTTTAACTCTCCTACAGTTCCCTCCCCATCAGTAGCGATTTATCGTTCATTGTTGTAGAACATGTTATTATTATCTCCCATTGTTTAGCGATCTACGTGGTGGAATCGTGGTGGTTGTACAGTAGAAGGTGAAAAACGGTCGCCCCGCAAGCTGCAGGCCTCAGGTGATTGTAATATTAAAGCAATACACTATATATGTAATAATATATTGCATATACTCGTAACATGTGATATGTTTACATGTATATGTACTATATACAGTATAAGTATAAATACACGTCGGATACCCACGTTGCCTCACACTCCTTCCAGTAAAAAATCAATGTTTCACTCGGCCGAATTCTTTTTAGCATAATTTTCAAAAGGATATTAAACGAAAAACTGTCTTTCGATTCACTGTCTTGTCGCCACTACATAAACTTTATTATTATTTGTTTTTTTTTTTTGTTATTTTGTTATTATTATTATTTTTTTTTTTTTTAATTCAATTACTAACATATTTTAGATTATTTTTACGGACCCGTGAAAGTTATGAGTGTTCGGAAATTAAGAGATTTGGACCCTTCGTAACGGCAAAAGCAATACCACCGACACTGAGCTCACCAATCATTTTTTTGTTCAAAAACATCTGCCTCGTTTTGGATTAAAAAACAAAAGAAAATAAATAAAATAGGGACAAAAAAATATAACACCATCTTGGAACGTTTCCATTAAGAATTATCAGAAATAATTTAACTTTTTGAATTATACTCTAAGAATTCATAAATATGTATAAGTTGTAACTGGCTAAAGTATATAATAATAATTAAAAACCAAACAAATAAGGATGTGTATAAATATTTGATAAATATTGCATAAACGGAATAAGTAAGATATTAATGATATTTTGTTTATATTTAAATAATTGTTTGTGGTACTTTTACATGATTATAAAGTTTCTCATATGATGTTTTACACCTATTTTAATATAGTTAAAGCCACTTATGAAAATTTTATATCATTTTGTGAAAAAACAAAAAAAACTATTTTAAAATAAAATTATCCTGCAATAAATTTATTACTGTAATACAAATGATGACGTACATTTTTGTCTTAAAATCTGTTCAAAAAGAGTTCCGAGTAAAAATTAATAGATCAATAATTATTAAAATTATAAGATTTCAAATCATGTTTTCCGTTTTTGATTTGAAAAAAATATATATGTATTTCATCTGATTTTGAATTATTTGAAATGATTTTAATGTTTTAAAATAAATTTAAACTTTGAGCATTTTTTTTAAATGCATTATATGTTTTAATTATATATTTATACATAATATGTATAAGCTTTCAAATTTTATTATTGGACATTTCTTAAAAAAAAATTTGAAAAATTATTCATGTATTTTTTAACTAATACAAATATTGCATATTATTTAACATTAACATGATGAAAGATATTTAGGAATCACGGATCCCCTTACCAATTTTTTCAAATATCTTTGTTTTTACAAAACATCTTTTATTCTCATAACTAAAATTAAAATATTTATTTTTTTTATATTACAAATTACTTAAGTGAACATACAAAACATATATATTTATAATTATTTTTATTACAGTTAATTTTTTATAAAAATGTAATATATAAATTATTTATTTTTTTTAATATTCTTAAAATTAATTTTTATTTACTTTATGTGATGGATGGTGTTGAATCTCTTTGAAAAAAAAGAATTATAATAACCCAATAATATTTTAATAATGCACTCATGCCATGCATTGACGTGTGTTATGTATTAAGGCAGCCACGAAGCTCCGAAATGAGTATATGGACCTCCCTGGGGACAGTTTAAGAACCACTGTACTATAATATAATGGTATTCTACAATTCTAGTCATATTATATATTTTAATTTTAAACAGAATTATGAAGATTTTTAAATTGTAATATTTTACGCACTGATAATTCATTTCAAAATTAAAACATAATAAAAACAGCTCTAACATAGCACAAATAGTGTTGTTACAATAATGTTTGATAATAGGTCATTTTATTCTAATATTAAAAGTAACAAAATTAAATGTAAACTTCTGTTAATACATCTGAAATATTACGCGCGTGTAAGACGGAGACAACAATTTTATTAACGCTTGTGTAACTTCATATCTTACAAACTAAATTAATAAAATAAAAAATAAATTGAAAATTAAAGTTTAAGAGTTAATAAAATAAGAAATGCAGAACAAATTTAACATATTAAATTGTATTTAAAATTAAAATTACATTTTCAAGGCACTATAAATAAAAATTGTTTTAATTACTATTGATTTATGCATAATATTATGAAACATATCTCAATGTATTTTTATTATGATGTAAAAACAAGTTAACTATTTATTCATTTTTATGGTTTCTCAAATAATTACATATTTATTTAGTTATGCTTCATGATAATTTTCATTTTATTTTCCAGACATTTGACCTTT